GGGGGGGGGGGGAGAGAGAAAGAAGAAGAAAAAAACCTGAGAAATGGGTTGCAAAAAATTACTGTATAATATTTGATGAGAGAAAGCTCAAGAATGTAGAGAACTCAAAAACGGTAGATTAGTCTTTTTTCCACTATCTTTGTGTTAATATACATTTACACTGTAATGATACAGCTAAATGACAGATGCCATTTTCTAACCAAACTACTGACTGTTATTAACAATAATTAACTACCTTATTAACTGCCTAATAATAATATAACCACTAGCTTTAACCATAGTTAGCTAACACGGGTTATTCCCATTTTATCACTCCCCCTCAAACTGATAGGTGCAAAAACATTGAGCACTCCCAGTTTGGATACTAGATATTCATGTTGTGACCTCGGAAGAGCCTTGGTCAAAATGTGTGCTTGTTGCTCTTTAGAACTAACATGACATGTTTTGATTAATCCTTGTTGAATCTTCTCTCTTATAAAGTGACAATCAATCTCTATATGCTTTGTCCTCTCATGGTAAACTTTACTTGGGTTTGCTGCAATTTGTTGTGCTGCCTTATTGTCATGAAACAACTCAATTGGTTTCTTCACATCTGCTCCTAGCTCCTTGAATAATCCAGCCACCCATATCAATTCTGCTACAGTCCATGTCGTGCTTCTGTATTCAGCTTCCTGCTGAACTCCTTGATACTGTGTTTTGCTTCTTGAATTTCTAGGAAATGAGGGAGTCTCCATACTTAACTAAAAAACCAGTGACTGATTTCCTTGTATTAGGACATGATGCCTAATCAGCATCACAATAGGCACTCAAAACATTTCCTTTTCTGTTGCTCATCAATATCCCAAGTCCAGGTTCTCTCTTGATGTACCTGACTACTCTTAAGGCTGCTTCCCAATGACTTCTTTTAGGCTGCTGCATGAGTTGGCTGAGAGTTTGAACAGCAAAGGTTATACCCAGTCTAGTTAATGTTAAGTACAATAGCTTCCCAATGAGTCTCTGATATTTCCCTTTGTCTTCCAATTCATCATCATCTTGCACCCCTGTAATATCATCCAGTTCTTTGCTAGTGAACTTCTGGTTGTATTCAAGTGGAGTCCAAACAGGTTTTCCAGCACTTAATCCTAGATCATCAATTAATTCTAATGCATACTTTCTCTGGTTCATCAGAATACCTTTGGTGAATCTGCTGAATTCAATTCCCAGAAAGCATTTCAACTCTCTAAGATCCTTCATTTTGAATGTTTTGTTCAGTTGATTTTTGGTAGCTTCTATCAACTTTAGACTGTTCCCAGTGATCAACATGTCATCCACATATACCAGGATGACAACAATGTTGCTATCCTGTTTTTGAGTAAACAATGAATAATCCAGACTACTTTGAGTAAACCCTTGAGCCAATAGAGCTTCAGTCAATTTAACATTTCATTGCCTGTTTGCCTGCTTCAATCCATAAAGGGATTTGACAAGCTTGCATACAAGATGCTCCCTTTGGCTTGCAAAGCCCTCAGGTAGTTGCATATATACTTCATCATGAAGATCACCTTGTAAAAAAGCATTGTACACATCCATTTGGTGGATGTGCCAACCTTCTGCTACAGCTATAGATACCACTGATCTCACAGTTGTTATTTTAACTACTAGGGAGAATGTTTCAGTTTAGTTAAGACCTTCTTGCTGATTGTATCCTTTGGCAACCAAGCGTGCTTTAAACCTTTCAATGTATCCATTAGATTTATACTTCACCTTGAATACCCATTTGCAACCAATGGGAATCTTTCCTTTAGGCAAAGGTACTAATTCCAAAGTTTTGTTCTCCTCCAAAGCTGCAATTTCATTCTTCATAGCCTCTACCCATCTTGGATCAGTAGAAGCTTCCTTGAAGGACCCTGGTTCAGTTACAGAAGTAAGGGCAGTGAGGAAGTGTTTATATGCAGGACTGATGTTGGTGTAGTCAACTGATTTCTGAATGGGATATAACACATGTGAGGCAGAGTTTGAGGCTGGTGTAACAAAGTCCTTTAACCAACCTGGTGCCCTTTTTGTTCGAACTAACCTTCTCAACTCTGTGGACTCAGTTGATGGCATGGCATCTGGAAGGCAGGCTTCCTCATGTGCAGATTCAATCACAAATGAATCTTCCATTACTGCTTCTGTGCTTAGTTCAGAAGTAAGTGGAACATCTGCAATGATAGGTATATCTGCTTCAGGATCAGCTCTAGCTGATTGAACTGGTGAAGTATCATTATCCAATTGAGAAATCTCTAAATCATCTAAGCCAATTTCTCCTTCCATGTCATCTAAATTATGATCAGGCAATATGGGACAACTCAAACCACCATCAGAAAATAGTGGTGAAGGTCTGCCCTTCTTGAATTTGAAAGGAAATAAAGTTTCTTTGAAAATGACATCTCTGTTGATGAAGAAGGTGTGAGCATCCAAATCATACAAAATATATCCTTTTGTAGACTCTGAGTATCCCATCATGACAACTGCAATTGCTCTAGAAGCAAATTTATCATGATTATTCATCCTCTTTGCAAAACATAAGCATCCGATTGTCCTTAAATGCTCCAGATTTGGTTTGCTCTTGTGAAAGACTTCATAAGGTGACTTCCCCTGTAAAGCCACTGATGGCATTCTATTTATCAGATAAGCTGCTGCTATGATACAATGTCCCCAAAACCTTAAGGGAATTGCTCCCTAAAAAATAATTCCCTTGGCTATCTCCAGAATGTGTTTATGTTTTCTTTCAGCCACCCCATTTTGCTGTGGTGTATGCACACAAGTTCATTGATGTATGATCCCCAAATTTTGAAAGATCTGAGAGCAATTTCCATTAACAAACTCACCACTATTGTCTGATCTAATCATTTTCACAGATTTCCCAAACTGTGTTTGTATCATATTTAAAAAATTCCTTAAAATCACAACCACATCACTCTTAAACTTGAGTAGATATAACCAAGTGATTCTGGAATGATCATCTATAATTGTTAGAAAAAATTTATTCCCACTGTAAGTTTGAACATTATAGGGGCCCCATACATCAATGTGCAACAAATGAAAAACTTCAGAAGTTTTACTTGTGCTATTATTGAAAGGCAATCTACATGTCTTGCTAATGGACATATTACACAATTTTCTAATGCCTTTTTACACTGTTCTTGAGACAGTCCCAACATTTGCTTTTTTGCTCCAACTGATGCATGTCCCAAGCTTCTATGCCAGAGATCAATATCTACTTTCTCCTTTACTGCAACCAAGCTTTTACTTTTAGCAGTGTCCTTTTAGTATAGTTTTGAGGAAACAACTAGAGATCACCTCTTTCTCTACCAATCCCTCTGACCTTCCCACTGTAAAGGTCCTGGAACATACAAAAATATGGAAAGAAGGTGACTGAACATTGTAATGCCTTTGTGAGCTTAGAAACAGACAACAAATTGTATTTGAAGTCTGGTATATATAGGACATTGTCTAAAGTTTCTATGCCATTGAAACTACATGAATCAATGTGTGTTATAGCAGTGGTTCCTCCATTTGGTAAATGTACCCTTTGTTGTTCCTTAGGTTCTAGTTTAGTTTTATTTTCTAGCACATTTAAGTTTGAGATCATATGATTTGTGGCTCCAGAGTCAACAATCCAATCCTTCTTTTGCATATCTACTAAAAAGGCATTATCATTACCTGCCATGTTTGCTGATACTTCATCAATACCTGCCATGTTAGCTGATGATTCTCCAGTGTTGTCATGTTTGAGTAGCTTCAGGATCTGAGAGTACAGCTCAGGTGTGAAATAAGGCCCTATCAATTGTTCTGTTCCATTGTCATCACCATTGCTCTATTTTCCCTCCTTTGCATCATGTTTTCTGTCATCTCTAGCAAGAGCATTATGAGTTGCAATGAAATTTTGCCTCTTCTTATACTTGAAATCAGCAGGGTATCCTATGATTTTGTAGCAACCTTCACTAGTGTGACCTTTCATTTGCAGTAGTCATTGCAGTTTCTCTTAAGCATCTGACTAAAACCTCCTTTTGCCATCATAAGTGCTGTAATATCTGCATTATCTGCTGCAGATATAGTGTTTGTCATGTTCCTTTGGCTCTCCCTTTCCATAAGCATAGAGTATGCTTTGTTAACAGTAGGCACATGCACCATCATGAGTAGTTGACTCCTAGCTTGCTCATATGATTCATTGAGTCCCATCAGAAATTGCAGAAGCTTTTGGCGCTCCATAAACTGAGCAAATTCACAAGAATTGGTTGTGTCACTACCAGGAATTGGTGCCAAACTATCAAATTCTGCCCAAAGCACTCTCAATTTTGAGAAATAGGCTGAAATTGAGCTAGTGCCCTGCCTGGCAGTGGCAATTTCTCTGTGAATTTGAAAGATTCTAGAACAATCCTCCTTATCAAAGCGTTCTTTCAGATCGTCCCAAACGGCATTAGCATTTGATGAATACACTATTCCACTCAATAATTCTGGTGAAATACAATTCATCAACCAAGACAAAACTATTGCATTACAGCGCTCCCAGTCAACGAGATTCAGACCATAATTCTCCCTTTTGCATGTGCCGTGAATGAACCCTAGCTTATTCCGGCCTAGGATTGCAATTCTCATTGTTCGGCTCCACACGGAGTAATTTTCCGATCCTTTCAATTGCAACGAGATTAGTATAGCTCCTGAATTATCATTTGAATTCAGAAAAAATGGATGATCGTGACCTAATTTCTCTGATTCAGTATTGTCGAGGGCCGCCATTGTTGAGCTTCCAAAATCTTCGAGGAAACGAAAATGAAGATGATAAGACCACACTAATGGTCGTGTGGCTCTGATACCATATCAAAATCAGTGGATCGAGTTAATGTTGTTAACAATTTTAGGTTGAGCATTCATCAATGAAGGATAGGGTGTAGAAGTG